TTCTAAATTTGATTAAAAAAGAAAAGCAATAAAGCCAAGCTGCTTAATAAAGGAAAGAAAGGAGAAAACGAGGAAAGGGACGGAGGGAGGGCAGGAAGAAAAAAGGGAGGCAGGAAGGGAAGGAGAAAATGAAGAAGGTAGAGAGAGGAGGGAGGGGAACTAAGCCCTTTAACCTGCTTATCTTTTAAGCAAACACCAATGCATGCATTTATCTAAAGCCTTTATGTTTTAAGTATGTGTTTGTGTGTGGGGTGGAACATGTCTCTAACATTGCCAGTAAGGCTGGAAGAGAGCACCAGTACCCACTGGACTTGGACTTGCTAGTAGTTGTGATACCTGACGTAGGTAATGGGCACTGAACTCAGGTCCTCTGCAAGAACAATACGTGCTCTTATCCACTGAGCCATCTCCCCAGCCTCCAATGCATTTATTCTATAACCTTTCTACTATCTCTTCAGAGATATGATTGCATCTAATGGAGTCAATTTGAAGAATTAACTCTTTTGTATCCTCTATTCAGTCTCCATCAGAACCTGTTCCGCACCAGCCTGTCTTTCCTCTCTGGGATTCAGGTCTGTTACTGATATGAGTATAGTTGGTTAATTTTTTAAAATACAGGTGGTTTTCATCATCTTCAGTCACATAACGATGAAACAGTCCCTTTCTAGGCCATGATGTGTGGTAAGGAAGATGCTGGCCCTGCCAGAGCATGATAAACAGGATAGCAAACTGTCTACAGAGTACAGAAGCATTCACTAGGTTGAGAAAGACCCAGGATACCCCACTGTGAAATATTAGGTTTGACTTAAAGAGCCTACATTGCTTCCAGTTGCATATTAAATATAATATTTGATTAAAGAGTATTAGAAAAATATAATTCAATAGTTTAATTTCTTAAGAAATAAAAAAATTAACAAAAAATAAATAAAAAATCACTTATAACTATTACTTACATAAATTTATTGTTGAACATGGAATTATGCTATAGCTGGGTGCAGTGGCACACACATGCTTTGAACCCCAGCACTCATGAGGCAGAGGAAGGTGGATCTCTGTGAGTTTCAGGACAGCCAGAAGTGTTACACACAGAAACCTTGTCTCAAAAAAAAAAAAAAAAAAAAAAAAAAAAACAAGTGTGTGTGTGTGTGTCGAGATACACAGATTTGCTTTTATTTGTATTTGTGTGTTGGTCAGTAACTGTGGATGCCCTAAGAGGCTGTCCAGTCACCTATAGCTGAAGTTACACATGGTTGTGAGATGCCTGACTTAGATGCTGAAACCCAATTCCAGACCTTCCACAAGATCAGTAAGCACTCTGAACCACAGAGCCACCTCTTTTGCCATAGTTTCCTTTTATAAAATACAATGTTATCACTCTGAGAATCTCACACATGCAGTCACTGGATTCTGAGCCTATTCAACCCCAGTTTCTCCTCTTAACTCCTCCCAGTTCCAATCCTGATTTCCCCTACCCTCCTAACTTCTTGTCCTCTTTTTCTTGAAACTGTCATGTCCAAATTTTAGTCCCCATCTACTCCTAGATATGGGGCCATCCACTGAACAAAGTCAATCCAGAAGGGGCCACAACACTGAGCCAAATTGGCCCTCTCTTCCCCAGAAGTCATCAACTATTAATTTCTCCTCGGCCATTAATAGAGGGTTATGAACCCAATCCCACGCTATGGTAGAATGTTAACTAACTTGACCTTGAATAGATATTATGCAGGCAGCCAGAGCTGCCAGGAGTTCATAACTGCAACAACCTTTTTTGTTTTTTGCAAAGAAAAATATTCATTTATAAATTTATTTAGAAAATAAATGAGTGTTTGAGAACAAAGGTATTTAACCTTATTTAAATATTATACAATGTATATGTATATAACTTTTTATATTTTCTCATCAACAGCTATACATTTTTGTTTTATCATTAAAAATAATTTTTTTGCTTATTTGAAAAATTATTAGAACAACTTCTCTCTATATAAACTATATAAGCAATGGAAGCATCATTTTAATTCTTCAGAGAAGGTTTTTTATTGAGCTATACATTTTTTCTCTACTCCCTTCCCTGACTCTCCCCTCCTTTTCAACCATCCCCTAAGGTCCCTATGCTCCCAATTTACTCAGGAGATCTTGTCTTTTTCCACTTCCCATGTAGATTAGATCTAGTGTCCTCGCTGTTGTCTAAATTCTCTGGGATTGTAATTTGTAGGCTGGTTTTCTTTGCTTTATGTTTAAATCTCGTCATGTCCAGAGGACACGGTTTCATTCCGTCTCTCCCTTACTTCTGACTCTTGCAATCCACACCTCTTCAATTGTCCCCGAGCCTTGGTGAGAGGTGTCATATAGATATGCCATCTGTGGTATCTCTAGATTGATCCACAGACACCTATTCTGTACAGTTTAAGCAGTTGTGAAGTTCTTCATTCATCAGCATGAATTGCACAAAGAAACATTGTCTGAGAGCTACACTAAACTATGGGTAGAAAGATCCAAATATAGGGGCAATTTGTTTTCTTTCTTCTTCCTCTTCGTCTTCTTCCATAGTTTCATTTTTCTGTCCAGACGAGCAAAACATGTGCATGAGTACTGTGCTTTCGTTATGTTTCCATGTCCCAGTTGCTAGCACTTCTTCCTGTTCTTGGCTTTACTGCCTTCCCTTACCACTCAGAAGTTTCTGAAGTGCTCTTTTCCCTTTGTGGGAAACTCTTCACCTGCCTCGCTTGCTATCCTTCTCTTCCTTCCTGCTTCCCCTTTTGAATCAGCTTATACTATTTCACATCTTCATGTTACTATGGATTTTCTAAGTCGATAGTGTGCTTGCGTGAACGTATATGCATATGTGTGCAGTGCCTGCAAAGGCCAGAAGAAGAAATCAGGCCCCCTTGCACTGGAGTTACAGATGCTGTGAGCCATCATGTGGGTTCTGGGAATCAAACCCAGGTCTTCTGCAAGAGCACCCAGTGTTCTTAACCACCGAGCCATCTCTCCAGCCCCTAACAATGTGTTTTTAATGCCACACAGGCAAACACCAAGTCTGTTCATCTCTGCATATCCAGGTGAGGTAACTGGAGCAGCACTGTGGACTGGAGGCAAAATTTGCACAAAAACCCTATTGGCTACTTACAATAATACTTACTTATTGTTTACTAGGAGTACTGTTTGATTCTCCAGCAAAGCTCAGGACTGGGCTGGTATTTGTCCTTACTTTAAATGCTGCATGACTCTTCGAATAGTCAGCTATACATTGAAATTGACTTATTTAGCTTTCCTTGGGATCCTAGTTGCTACGTGGAGAATCAGTTAAAAAGCATTGTTACGTTTAACATTTAGAAGTAACATATAAAATAAAAATCTAATGACCCTACCAAAGAAAGTGAGCTGACCTTATGCCAGGAAGTGAAAATACTAGTTTATGATAAGATATTATAAAATAGAAAGGAAAATGAGTGCAGACCCAGAAAATCCAAGTTCACATGCGAACTCAAGCGTCCGGCCTCGGCAAAAAGAATCTGTGTCACAACATCGCCACCCAGTGGCCAGATTCAGAATCGATTCGACTCTCGTATTTACGCATGCTGTTCAGGTCTGTAAATGCAATGCTTTGAAGCGTTTACTTAATTCAGAAGAGAAGTAAAGTGAATAATCTCTTGAAAACCCAAAATTTTGTTAGATCCTTTCATCTTCATGACTCAATACAGCATTGGAAATCTGTTGCTTTCCTCTCTGATGGTTCTCAACTCTTTCATTTCACACATATCCAAAATGTTATAAAAATCACATAATTATTAACAAGAATAACAAAAGGTCAAAAGGGGACTGAATCATCTTTCTCCTCTCCGATTCTAACTGTAACTTCTTTTAATAATCATTATCCCCTTCCTCAGAAGTTTATCTTTCCTTCTATAATCTGGAATGCACACCCAGGTCCTGCTTAAATATAAGGAATAAAGTGTATGTGTGCATGCACACATGTGTGTACAACTGTGGGGGGGGTAGCAGAGGTATGTATGTTTATATGTGAAATTGAGGGATCAAGCCCAGAACCTTATTAGGCAAACATTCTATAACTAAGGTATCGCCTCAACCCCTGACAAATCTTAATATTAAAAACTCCTCATTGAATAGTCAATTAGTCACTTTACCATGCAAGGAAAGGGCATTTTCTTCATCAAAAGTCTCTCAATACTGACACGTTCCTATGTTACAATCTGCAGATAGCACAGGGAAGGTATTGCCAGGCTTGAGCCTCCAGGAGGGCAAGGACAGCGTGGTCCCCTGATGATTCTTCTGTCACTTCTGTCTACTGGCAATCCTATAGTGCGTAGAATGGCTGAAATGGGTCATCTATTTACATTGTGTGTGTGTGTGTGTGTGTGTGTGTGTGTGTGTGTGTGTGTGTGTGTAGTAATATACTATGTGTTAATATGTCATATGAAGTTTATAGTCTTAATCCTTTTTGGCTTTCTAATTCTGTAGGGGTCAAATGACAGAAGATTTTTCTCTAAGGCCTCTTCCAAATTGGAGAGTGCAGGAACTGATGCAGTCTACTTTTTATAGGGTGGTGGCATCTATCTTACCGGATGGCAGTATATCTCTTATAGGGTGGTAAACGCCTTATAGGGTGATAGTTTTATATAAGGATCTTGGATGGATCCTCAACTCTTAATAAAATAAAAAGTGGAAAACCAGCAAATTGTTTACCAGCACGGCAGAGACAAGCCATGCATTTTGGAGGCAGAGGCAGGACTCTGGAATTCTAGGTCAACCTGAGCTACAGAGGGAGACGAGTGGGGGATGGGGATTGGTTTTCTATTACTCCATATGTGGAAAAAGGTTTTAAAACGGTTGCTACACACAGAACTTAGGGACTTTTTTTTTTAACAGAACTTGCCTCAAGTTTATTTGTAAAAACAGCATAAGGTCCTGAACATCTGCAAATACTGTGTAGGTGTTCACACAAGTCCATCTGTCTTCACATTGGCAAACTGCGACCTTTTTTATGGGGCCTTCACAGGGGCCTGGGCACCTTTAGGAGCCTGAGCTGCAGCTGAGGCCTCTGCCTTGGCTTGAACCTTGGGCTTTGTTTTTTGGAGCCTACGACCCCTGGCCATGTAGCTTCTAATCCGCTTCCCAAGCTTGGAGTGAGCAATTAAAATCAGACGAGTGAGTTTGCGGGTGGGACCCTTTGGCACCTTGGGCTTCACCACCTGGGGCTTCACCAGGGCCTTGATGGCCTCCGCACGTGCACTCATGGCCTTTGCATTATTTGCCTGCATCTTCTTCAGGCCTTTCTTGTTGTGCTTCTTGGCAAAGCGCATGTTCCTCGGGAACTTGTGGTCGACCCCCTTGAGAGATTCGTATCTTTGTGACCGGGGTTTCTTGATGCCGTTTCTGTGCCATTTCCGGGACTGGTTGTGTGTGGTGTGGTTCTTGGACTTGGCCATGGCTGGACAGTAATCGGCGGCTCCCGAAGCGCCTGCGACCAGAAGAGAAAGAGGGGACTTTTTTTTTTTTAACAGAACTACTTTAAAGGGACAGCAGCTGTGGGTTTTGAGAGAGAAAAACGGCACCATACAAATGTTCTTGATAAAGAACTTCAGTGCACCAAACGCCCAACTAATCTGGTTATCTGAGGGACCAGCTTTGTCATATGCTTGATAGGCTGGTAACTACAGTTGGAGAGAAAAGCAAATTAATTCCATAAGTTCAAAGGAAGCAGCTGTCGGTAAACATAGCAGTCATTTCTATCAGTAAACTCACTGGAGCAAGTCACTCTGGAGACTTTGGAGACTCTGAGGATGCCTCTGTCGATGAAGAGCAAATGAAGCTAAACTGTTTCACCACGCTTCGTTTCTCCTGGATCTATTTCTAGAAACTTTTGGTTGGCAAATACCCAGGATGTGAGAACGTCCCTCAAAGAATGACAAATAGGAAGGGAAGTTTAAGACTTTCAGCAGACTGTAACGAAATGTCACAATTAATTAAAATAGCGTTTAAACATGCATTTGTTTAAAACTAATTTACAAGCATACGTCATTATGGGTTTAACTGAAGTACTGCATGCTTGGATGTTCTAGTCAAACATTTTCAGTAGCCACAGTGGTGTATGAGTCATCAAAGCCAGTTCTAAAGCCTCATAATGCTTCAGAGTGAGGGGGGTGGCCATCTCCTTAGTACCTTTCTTAGAACTGGCTGTACAACACTCTTTTTCAGCACTCCAAAAATAGCTAGTCCCAGAAGATTCATTGCTCGCTAATATCTTCTATACTTGTGGGCTTGTTGTTGTTGTTTGTTTTAGGTGAAGTCATAACTGCATGGTTTTAGGCATCATCAAGGAGAAGGTTTATGGATCTTGGGAGACTGCCTGGTCTCTCTGTAGGGAGTATGTCAAGTTCAGTGTGCCTCCAACTATATTCCTTATCTTCGTTGACAAGCATTTTACACTGATATTGATTTCTACTATGCCACAAAACCCTAAACCCTTAAACCTTGGAATTTCCCATCCCTCTTACACACCTGTCCTCTGTTCTGCTCAGTTATACTCGGATCCTTCTTGTTCTTACCTCAACACCATTTTTCCTGCCTAAATTTCCTGTCCCACTTCTCATGCCACTGTCCCAGAAACGGGTGCTCTGCCATCATCTCTTGTACAAAATATTGAAGTCATTTCCTAAGAATATCTCACATATGAGAGCTGTCAGCTCTCTATCAAGGTCCCACTTATTCTGTGCCATTATTATATCTTTCTTAATGAAAAAAATTGGGAGCATATCCATTGTAAATGTGATAAGTTTCATAAAGATGTGTCCTACTTGTGTATGTCTGTACACGTTCATATGTATGCAGGAGCACATGTATGCCCGTGTGTGCTCTTTACGTGTGGACACTAAGGTTAGCATTAGGTGTCTTTATCAGTTCTCATCATATTGTTTGACTAAACCTGGGCTTATAATTCAGCTAGACTGGCACTGTCTAGCAGTTTCCCCTGAGACTGGTACAGTTCACTTTGCTCACTAAGTTTGCAACTCTCTCTGGTCAAGTGTTTCTGGGTGAGATTAGAAACTAAGTCACTGGACCTCGGGTGATGGGCAGCCCAGCTGAGAGCAGGTGGGCACTCTGGGACCTGCTGGGGGACTGGATAGAATGAAAAACAGAGGGAGGATGAACCCCCTCTTGTCCACTCCTCACCATTAGAGATGAAGTCCTCCTTACTCTGCCCACAGACTGAACGATAGAACTTGCTCTCCGAGATCTTGTATGTGCAGGTGACAGACCAAGAGGATCTCTGCATAGCTGTGTCGTCTAATTTCTCCTAAGAAATTGTCCAGCTGTTCTGTCTCTCTGGAGACCTTTGACTCAAATCATAACTACGGTGCAAGAGCAATTTCTGTCTTATTTCTTTTAGAGTGGCTTAATAATCAGTAAGATCTCTTCAAATTTTATACTATATACTTACATGATGAAATGCACTATTTATATTAAATATTTTAATTAAAAACATTTCAATTGCAAAGGTAAATTGTCACTGAAATCACAAGTAGACTACAAACACCGATTTGTGATCCACATAAAATATGAGTAGCACCATTAACCTACAAAATCTACTTCTATAATTATATTAAAAATACAGTTTTGAGTTCTGAAGCCAAGTCTGAATGCAATTACAATAATCACACGGAGGATTATCTGCCATTTAAAAGATACATTAAGTAGTCCTTCATTACAAACCATTGAAAGGTCCACCCCATACTGATGTAGCATAATAAAACCCATAACTGGAATACTTGACCACATTACTAAACCATAACCTTGACACTCAAGCACATGGTCCCTTTGTAGCTGACACTAGCCTTGAACTTCTGATCCTTCTCACTGGTAGCCCCTTTGAAGAAGAGACCAAGAAGACTTTCCATGAAGCACAGAAGACTTCTTGACCTGGGGCAATGGTTGGATGTTCTGTCTCCTTCTAATACCAATTAATTAGAAATGGTACCCAGAAAACAAACTCTCCATATTCAGCAATATGTGTTCTCTCTCCCTTCCTCCTCCTCCTCCTCCTCTCTCTCTCTCTCTCTCTCTCTCTCTCTCTCTCACACACACACACACACACACACACACACACACACAGTGGGAAGAAGATACCTGAGTCACTACAGGAATAAAAGTCAGAAGAGGTATTTGTATTTCAAACAGGTATTTGCCAACCATAAACATTTATATGTCCTAAAAATTCTTTGCCCCACACCTATCTTCTCTAGTTATAAAGTTATTCATATTTAAATTATTAGCAGCAAGGTTATTTTTGATGTGCAAAAATCCTGGTTGTCCTTTTTGCATAACATAAAATGGCATTACAGAACTACATTTCAGCAACGTCTTTACCCTCACCAGCAACATATTAATGTGGAGGGACTGAGGCAAGGCCAAGGAACAGTCATCAGAAAAGGGAGGTGCTGCTGCAGGAGAGTGCTTGCTTGCCCAATTGCCTGAGAGTTTAGTTTCAATATTTAACAGGAGAAAGGGGATAGGGTGGAGCAGGGGGGTCGGGGGAACTAGACACATAGGGATAGAAAATGAATAGCCATTCAAAAACACTCCCCCGTGCATCCCACAGGAACCCTTTGACTTCTCCTTAGTGGTGATTAAAATACCCTTTCGAAGCCACAAGATCAGCTATTAACTTTCACTGTGGGTATCACATGGGTCTTCCTTCCCGGTTCCCTTTCTGAACACACACAGCTCCTCCCTCTTCTGCCCCAGAATGGAAGATTCATCACAACCATAGTTAACCCTTATCGTGGACCTATCATTCAAAAGAGACTGGGGTGGGGGAGTTGAGAAGTAAAGACTTCTGCTGCCACGTCTGAGGACCCAAGTTTGATCCCGGATATCACATTGGAAGGAGAGAAATCAGTTATAAAAGTTGTTCTCTGACCTACACACGCACGCACACACACTAATTATTAATTTAAAAACGATTAAGAAAACAGAACTTGAGGTGTCTTGTGATTTGTTTTGTGGTGCGATGCTGGGGCTGAACCATGGGCCTTGCTATACCAGCAAGTGCTCTGAAGCTAAGTGGCAAGCCGTTGATACAGGACTTCGGAAACCATTAAAATCTTCGGGAACTTTCAGGACTATGTATTTTCCCCATTGGTTGACCACTAGGAAGCTAACCCTATGTCATGGACACAAAACACTCAGAGAACACTCTTGGCCACAAGATGTCAGTAAATTTCCACATTCTACTGTAAAATGTTGCCAGAGGGGGGTCTTCCTTCCAAAAGATCCTGAGACGTATCAGGTTCTGAGCAAGCAAAGGAGAAAGGGCTTATGGTTCTTCTTAAAAATAAATTTTAAAAAAAAAGATGCGACCAACAAAGAAGGGATGTAAATGCAAAGGAGAAGCCATTTGCAATACCATTTTCTGCTATCTGGACCTTTGCAAATTGGTTTCCAGTAAAATGAAGTCTAGTCATGTTTAAATGAGATTAAAATTAATAATTTAAAGTTTATACTTGAAAGTAGAGGAACTAGAATTTTTATCGAAATCCTCAGAAAACTAATAACATATGAGTATGAATAAATCCATCAACTGGAGCTAATTTACTTTAGATAATAAAACATATCTGCTCATTCATTCAAAAATGACTATGAAAACTCTATTTTAGTCAATCTTTAAACATACCTTAATATTTAGTCTTTAATTTTACATATTACTTAGCGAATCTATATTCATATAAAATATCCGTACTATATTATATGCATCCTGAAAAACTATTTATTGGCATAATAAACTTCTATGTGAAATTTAAACGTTTACAAATTAAAATGAATAAAAATAACTGGAGTTTCTCCAAGTTCGAAATTGATAGCATATGCTGTATTATTGCAGGTAGATCTCATTGCGCTAACAGTACTTCTTATTTCACTTTTTAGAGCTTTTTTTTTATTTTAAAGCACATTAGCATGCATCTTGGCATTTACAAAACCATCAATAACTCTGGCACCAGGAGGCATAAATTAAGAGTAAACATAATATTTTGGCAATGGCCACCAGGAAAGTATCATTTTACTTGAAAAAATAAAATAGTGCTTTTTTTCCTACTGTTTTCTTTAATATTTTACTATTAGATTCCCTTTAAAAGGCAAGGATGAAATGAGTGTCTATACATTTACCACAAAACTCCTGCTGTGAACTATTTCAGAACACTTGTTTTATGATGCATCTCCCGTAGAGCCTCACTGATGCCAAACATCAAGTCAATTGCAGATACTGGTAGATTTCGCTTCATAAAAACTATCAAAATAATTTCCTGTGGACAGTAGCTATATGTAGCTATTGCCCTAAATTTTTACAGAAGCAAAACAAATTCAACTCAACATAAGTGAATCTTTGAGGAAAAAAATAATTAGTCTAAATGAATCAGAGACTGCCAAATGACTACTAACTGAAGACCGGGTGATCAGAAACTGCCAAATCTTCTGCAATTAGGAAATTTACTAACCAGAAAAGTCCCAACTAATTTTCCTGGTGACTTTAAAACTCCTGATATAGTTTAACCAGCCAAATATTTTTTTATCAGATTTCATGCATACTTCTGTTTTCTCTTTGAGCCCCTTCAGTGGACTCCAAGCCATCGGTATAGTTAGTGCTCCCTGATCCACAGATCTGTGGCCCCAACTA